AAGCTTGAGGATCCAGGGACCGAACCACAGCACCCTTAGCCTGACTGCTTTGTTTAAGCAACCACTTAAACAGATGAGCTAATGGGCAGCTCCCCTCCTCCCTTCTTGTTTTGATGTGGACTTTATACTTCATGGACTCGGTCAAAAGGGGAACTAAAAGGGGAACTGTTTCTCACTTCAGTTTGTCTCAGAAAACTCCCTGCGTCAGAACACATGGAATTATGTCATTCCTTTTTTTGTTGTTTTTGACACAGGGTTCCAGTGTGCACTTCAGGATGGCCTTGAACTCATTTTGTAGCTCAGGCTGGCCTCGAATTCACAGGGATCCTCCTGCCACAGCCTCCTGAGTGCTGGGATCGCAGGTGTGCACCACTATGCCGGGCAATTATCGCATTTTTAAAGCATTGCTCAACTGTCCCTTGTGGGAACGGAACATCATTTATTTTGCTGTTTTTTTTCTTCTAGTGGTTGAGGAATTCCTTCTGTGAACCTACAGACCTGAACTGGTAGCTTAAAGAAATAGGAACCATTTTACCTCTGCCTCTTGCCTCCCTCCAGAGGGAGAGCACCTTCTCACTGTGGCACACAGGCTGCTGGGTATCTCACTTCCGTTCCCTCTCTGCCTCATGCCTGCCTTGCCCTTAGTCTCCCTGGTGTTCCTGGGACCTTCAGGACTTTTGCCCCTAGGGTCCTTCTGCCTTGAACTCTCCCCCATCCACTTGGCTTTCTCCTTTTCTCCATGTCTGTTCAGAAGTCATTTTAATTCTGCAATGCCCCCTCCACTCCAGGCAGACTCCTTCCCAGCCCAATCTCCCTTGCCCTCTTTATTTTTCCTCACTGCACATGCCCCATAATATAGTATCTGTTTGCTTATGGCAGTGTTTTTGGCTCTATTGAAATGTCAGTTTCACAAGGAAAAGAATCTGCCTCTACTTTGAGCATTCCTCTTAACTAGTGTTTGGCATGGTTGCAGTTTCATCTGTTGTAAAACAAATTTGGAGCTGTTTTGCAGGAGGTAAGAGGGAGGGTTGTGATAACACAAAAAAGTACTGCTGTGGCCTAGGTGTTTGTGTTAAAATCTGCATTAAAGTATGATTAAAACATGGTCATTGCCCCCACTTCAGAGATAAGCAAACTGAGACTGAGTGGGGTCAATGTCTTGTCATAAACCTCCGAGCTGGCATTGGAGAGCCTAAAAATCGGGCAGCTTACCTACCGTGTGAGAGGGAAGTAGAGGGGGCTTGAGGTAGGATTAAAAAAGAAATCTACATAAAAAGACGAAGAAATTTAATTATACTTTAAAAAAGCTCCTACAGCTTTAAGATAAAATTACTCAAAATTCCCGTCTAGAAAACTAAGAAGAATTGCTAAAGGTCCTTTTATAGTAAGCCTGTAAATTCAGACTTTAACCTGTCCTCACCTGTAAACTGTGCTTCCTTCATCCTTAAAAAACGCGGTAATATTGGTGGGCGACGTATTCCAATTTCAAACACTTGGAGACAGCTTACGTTGAGCCCGGCAGACAGTAAAAATACATATCCTACACCATCCATCTTGAAGACACTCCCTTAAATGCACCCAAGTCTGGCTCTTTGTTTGTTTTTTTTAATTTTTAAATTTTTATTTGTGTGTGTGTGTGTGTGTGTGTGTGGCCAGCTCAGCCCACCAGGGGGCGGGGCTGGCTGGCATGTGGTGCTGGGGGATTGAACTGCGGTCCCTGTCTAAGCTTGTTCTAAGCAGGTACTTTAGCCCACTAAGCCATCTCACCAGCCCCTGTTTGTTTGTTTTTGAGATAGTGTCTTGCTGTGGAGCTCAGGCTGGCCTTGAACTCCACTGGTCTTGCTGCCTCAGCCTGGGCTTTCAGGTGTGAACCACCGTGCCCGGCTCCAGCTGCTCTCAGTGTGCCTTGTTTCTCTAACCTCGTGTGCCCCTCCCTGAGCACATCCTCCTAAACCCTTCTCCTGTCTCTTTTACTGATGTGCCCTAAAAATTCTTTCTTTGCAGTGGGAATCAGCAAACCTGCAAACTTTTTTTTTTTTTTTTACATTTATAATCTTTTTTTAAAAAAATTAATTAATTTATTTTGTGTGTGTGTGGCCAGCTCAGCCCAGCACCGGGGTGGGGCTGGCTGGCATGTGGTGCTGGAGGATTGAACCGCGGTCCCTGTGCTTTGCTAAACTTGTTCTAAGTAGGTGCTTTAGACCACTGAGCCATCTCACCAGCCCCCTGCAAACTTTTTTTAAAAAAGGTTGGATAGGTTCCTTATTTCAGTTTTGGGGACCTCTTAAGCCCAGCCTGGAGACAGACCTACAAACCAAGGCCTTGTAGGGCTGCTTGGAGATGATGTAATTGTCTAGTGGGATTTTTACTCCGTGCTGTTCAACAGATGATTTGCTGTTAGCCCCAGAGCTTCTTCAAAAGGCTGCTACACAGCACAGCTTCCTGTGGAGAGGCTTTTGGGAGAGGAAAGGCAGGGTGGTAATGGGAGGGGGGTGAGGGTGCCAGGAACATTTGACTCAGGAATGAGAAATTATTGGGGTTTGCAAAAGAGAAGGTTGAGGCTGAGGAATGGGGGAGAATCAGCTCTTTACCAAACACTGAGCATCGTCTATATGCGAGGGCCAGTGTCCTTGTACCCGGGTTTCTTACCTCAGACTCCCTCGTTGACCTTGTACCTCCCACCGTGGTGGCTTACCTCAGAGTGCTTTGCCTGCCCTTCCTGTCCATCTATCCCAGATGGCTCAAGGATAGCCGCAAGCGAGCGATGGCATTTCTCCAAACTGCTTCCCAGGTGCAAAGCTAAATCAAAGAATATTCTAGGCAGAAAATACAGATTATTTTAGAAATCATTTATTAATCTGGAATGAGGCGCATCAGATGAACTGAAAAAAAAAATACAAGACTCTCAGTGGGGCTGGTGCTAGGGTGGGGCTGCCGGGTGCTTGGCGAGCTGTGTGTCATGGTAGGTCAGTGTGGGATCCTTCTCGTCCTAAGTCCACACGGCCTGAAGTGCCAGGATGGACCAGAAATTCATGTAATTCAGATAGGAGAAGAAACCTGGGGAAGGAAGAGGGCACGGGGTGAGACAGGGTTCCATAGCGCACACCCGCCCAACACGCCCTGTGCTATCTCACCCCACCTTCATCCCTCACTTTCACCAAATGCAAACTCACCTCCATGGCCTCCAGGCTGCTTCCTAATTCCAGCCCAACCCCATCCCTACATCCAGCCCCAGGTGCACCCCACCCCAGTCTCACATCACAACCCCATTCTACTTACCCCTCTCCACTCCCACCCCCAACTCTATTCCACATAACACCTCTCTATATCCCCGAAGCTATGCCCAAGCCCATCCCCTTCCCAGCCCGGACCAGTCATCATGAACAGGAAGATGCCAATCCATGCCAAGTAGAAGCTGATCCCCAGCTTGTATGTCATGCCTTCCTGTAGGTATCGGTCAGCCTGCCACAGGTAGAACAGGACGCCCAGTGCGATGCTGGCCCCTGTGTGAGTGCAGATGTTAGGAGGCCCGGAATAGGGGGTCCCAGGAACCCTGCTCATAGCTGTGTGGCTGCTTGGTTCTTGCTCATTTCCCTATTCTCTTCAACCTCCCTAATCCCATACTTTGGCCACCAGTGGAAAAATGGGCTCCTGACACCACCACCCCGGGAGTGCAAGCCTAGGACTTGCATGGAGTGACGATGGTGTCCAAAACCACCGGCTTTGGCTCTCACAGACTGGGGCTGTCATCCATCTCTGCCCCTCCCTTAGGGAAGCCGCATCATCTCTCTGAAGCTCAGCACCCTCGTCTGGGGAGTGGGGATACTCACAGGGCCGTCATGTACATGGGCTGGAATCGGCACATTCCCCACACGAGGCCCTTGGTAATTAAGCTACGTCACCAAGCTACGTGATATTGAGCCCTTCCCAGTTGGCTTCCGAAGCAGTATGCAGAGAGCCAACTCTTTCTGGGTATTTTGAAATTACATGAATTAAAAACAATTTATGTAAAGGAAAATCCTTCTTGTTTTTCCTTTTCAGATCTTAGATTCTTGGTCTTGTGTTATTGGAAAATGATACAGGAGGTGCTTTATGTTTACATAAAACATAAATTCTTATAGAATGACCTGATTTAGTTGGTGTTTTCTATCCTTTGTGACTTATTTTTATTTTTTTATTCTTTTATTTTTTTATTTTTTTAAATTTTATTTATTTGTGTGTGTGTGGCCAGCTCAGCCCACCAGGGGGTGGGGCTGGCTGGCGTGTGGTGCTGGGGAATTGACCCACGGTCCCTGTGCTTTGCTAAGCTTGTTGTAAGTGCTTTAGACCACTGAGCCATCTCACCAGCTCCTGTGACTTATTTTTAAACAAATAAGACCTATTAGACTAACTGGATATATAGACTTGTTAGTCTAACTGGATAAATACCAGTTATGAAAAGGGAAACATGAAATTGACTGCTCTTTACACTGTCTCTTTCCAAAATTCTTTCCGGATGCAACTGAAAATTATTATCAACTACTACAAGGGGCAGGAAGACAATATCCCTTATTTCTAAATTAAAGCCCCTCCCCCTACAGTGTTGGCACACAAAAGCAAAACTAGGTTCTTTTTTGCAAAACTAGATTATGCCAATCACTGTATCAATTTTGTGTTATTTGGGTGGGGTAAGAGGGTTATCATGGTAAAGATTTGTGCAAGATTTAGTAGCTAACATCAAGTACTGATGCTTTTTCTCTTTTGAAAGGCAGACTGCCGCCTGCCGTGCCTCACTTGATGTGCCTGCAGTCTTGGAAGTTTGGCTAACTCCTGTTTTCCTACACACAGAGCCTGTGAGCTTGCCTGGAGGTTCTAGCAGGAGAAAGCACTATTCGTATACCTTTGACTGGAGAAAGGTTCTCCTCTAACGGGAGGGGGCAGTTTTAGGAAGGACACACATGGGACAGTGAGGGAGGCAGGGGACTTATGTCTCACCAGCAAGCTTACCAAACCAGCTGCAGTGATCGATGATCCATGGGGTGGTGGGTGAGATCACCCTCATGTCCAGGTACTGATATTTTCTTGCCTTCTTTCTTTTGAGTACTGGTCACAGAACATAGGACCTACCTCATGGTAGGCAAATGTTCTGCCCCTAAGCTACTTTCCACTCCTATTTATTTTATTTTGTGACCAGGTTTAGCAAAATCACCCAGGCTAGGCTTGAACTTCTTATACTCCTGCCTCAGCTTCCTGAGTAGTTCGGATTGAAGATGTGTCACCATCCAGCCCAAGTACTGACATTTTCTAATGCATTTTCATTACATCTCTACCTGAAAATGGGAAGGGAATGCCATCCCTATCCTAGATTGGAAGACTGGCTCAGAAAGATGAAGTAACTTGCATAAAATTACCTATCAGTTGTGATGTGGCAGGAGCAGAGAGGTTGCTTTGGGGAGGGGAAGGTTGAGGATCCCAGTGGGCTGTGCTAAGGGTATAGGACAGACTGGATATGGGTGAGAGGAAGGACTTGGGAATGGGTTGGGCTGGTTTTGAGAGTCACGCTCACAGGTGATAGAGGCGGGGATGGGACTAAGAAGAGGCAGCAAACGAACCGGGGTTGAGTGGGAAGTTGAAATTCTTGGTGATGGGGCTTCATGTGGAAAGAAAACAGAGTTGGGAGGAGGTGGGAATCAGATGGACATTGGGGGCTGGGGAGATGGCTCAGTGGAATATGTGCTTCCCTGGCAAGCGCAAGGGCCTGAGTTCAATCCCCGGTTCCGCAAAAAAAAAAAAAAAAAAAAAAAAAAAAAACCCAAAAAACAAAAACCAGATGGACATTGGGAAAGGGGATGTAGACAAGTTAGAGGTCATTGGGCAGTGGACGTGTGGGTTAGAGGGGAGGTTGGTATTGCGCCTGGAGGTGGGGTTGGGGTGATGTTTTTATTGGGATGGGCTGGATATGGGGAAGGAGAGGATCGGGGCTGGGAGTGCAGGTGGGGTGGGGGTGGGGCTGTGCTTTGTGACTGGCACAGTGAGGTGCTCCGTGTTCATATCCCCAGGAAAAGGTCTTAGTGCTGTGCCTGTCATGATGCTGCCGATGAAGAGGACGAAGTCCAGCACAGGCAGGTTGGAGCTGGTGAAGAAGAGCAGGAGGATGAGGGCCACACACAGGCAGACGCTGGTGATGCTGGAGAAGAAGAGGAAGGCCCAGGAGAGGTCCAGCAGGTCTGGAGGGGAGGAGAACGGGGAACACAGAGACTGCATTTGCAAGTTCTGAGATCTGGCAGGAAGGCCCCCAGTGGGGCTGTGAATCTTCCCCGGCCCCCTCCTGTGAAAACTTTTCTCATGCTAAGAAAATTGAAATGGGGCTGTAAAGGAGTATTAATGCTGATCCCTCCAGCCTGCGCATCACACAGCTGGGGCAGTGAGAAATAGGGAGGGCGGTGGCCATCATTTTAGAGCTGTGAAGACCATCGCAGAGGGAGGGGTCTCTGGGACAAAGCAAGAGGAATCCCAGGAGCTGTGAGGGCAGAACAGGCCTTACAAGCATACTGGTCGTACTCCTTCATGCAGGACATGTCAGAGCACGCCACAAAAAGGATGGTGTTGATGGGTATGGTCGGGGTGCCGGCGGGGTCCCCGGGGGGCTCCAGTGGCACTTGGAAGTGCATCCAGGGCTGGCCCAGAGAGATGAAGCCGATGATCACCAGGCCGGCCAGGGTCAGCACCAGGCTCAGCTGGCGGCTGATCTTCCTGGCCTCATGCAGCAGATGCCAGCATATGGGCAGCCGGATCTGACGGCTGCTGCTTTTCTGAAACCTGCAGATCACACACTGCCGCGTCAGCCCTGGGCCCACCCATGCTTCCCGCCACCCTCTCTACTCTGCATGGGTGCGCCATGCCCTGTGTCTCTAGGTCTTACTGTGGGCTACCCCCAAGCCCCGGGCCAGCCTTGAGCTATAGCTTCCAGGCCCTGCCACACCTGCATTCTGATACACCAGCCCTGTCTCTTGTTCCTTTGACGGCTACCCTTCCCCTGGAATTCTAGCCATCTACCCAGAGCTTAGCCTCCTCCCACAGTCCCGCCTCTTACTTGCTAGCATTAATGCTGGTGGAGCTGGCTAGCAAGAAGTCTTGCACGTCAACAGGAATGGTCTGGTTGGGTTGGGAGGCAAGCCCAGTTTCTTTGGGACTCGCCTGGGAGCTCCAGTTAACCGAGTCGATGCTCTCAATGCTGGCCGTGGGGCTCTGGGTAATGGATGGGGGGACATGGTCTTTGGGCCGGGTTTGTTTGCTTGTGAGGCCTTGAGTCTGGGTTGGTGTCTGGGGGATGTCCAATTGGTGGGTTTGGTAAGCTGAATGGGTGTCGTCCAGGGGAGGAGATTTTTGGACACTGAGTGGCTGAGTGTGGACAGTTGGCAGAGATTGTTGGATACTGGGATGGCGAGTGTGGAGAGGTGGTGGAGATCCTTGGATACTGGGATGGCGAGCGTGGACAGGTGGTGGAGATCCT